TTGTCCAGGAAAAGGCAAGGAAGGTTAAAGAGATATGATATGCTTTATTGTTGATAGGACGGAACTTCAATTTGCCTAATAAATAATAATAGTAATAATAATAATAATAATGAAATAATAATATTAATAATAATAATTAATCCGATATTGTTCTATGTACAATCCGTGTTTTATTGATTGCATGTAATAATCTACTTTTTTGAGGTTGTGGATTTGGGGTTCTTGGGGTTTTCATGAGCTCTAAGCCATAATCATCACAATGATGACAAATCACGGCTTGAACTATCTTGCTTTGCATGTAATGAGTCTCTCTCATATATTAGTTTCACCGCATAAGTTGCATTAGTGAAATAAATGAACTTTGCACGATATTCTAATTATTCCAGTTTCACCTGTATAAGAGTGATCTGACCTTTTGACTTATAATAGCACCTTCCATGTCCTAGAACTCATATCTATCACCAATAATAAATGTATGCAAGCATTTTAGATGATGCAGATTCATTTAGGATCGATCTGACCTTTTTCACCTATAATAGTACCTTGAAAGTCACAGGACTCAACCCATCACTCATAATAAATTTATGCAAACATTTTAGGAATGATTTGACCTTTGACTTACAAAAGTACCTTACAAGTACTCAAACTATGGCTCCTATTAAACGTATGCAAACATTTTAGGAGTGGTCTGATCTTTTGACTTATAATAGTACCTTGAAAGTCCCAGAACCTATTACCGGCCGGCTCCAACCAGTGATGACCGGATTGATGCATCAGATGTCTCTACAATTCAGATGAAATGTCGTGGTGAGAGTTCTATGTGCACATACCGTGCATGCCTGAACTTTTCATTGTGGGAGGGGCTGTATGTGGAATATAGGAGGGGCTGTATGTGGAATATGGGAGGGGCTGTATGTGGAATATGGGAGGGGCTATATGTGGAATATGGGAGGGGCTGTATGTGGAATAGGACACGGAATCAGAAAGTGTGCCAGAGCAGCACCTGCCCCCCCTGTGCGCACCTATCCAAATGTGTGTGGTGGCGTTTTATACTTAAAGCTGCAGCGTAATAATTGCTTGTACAGCAATCCGGCGCACTTCCCTTCAATCCCAATGATTTGCCCGTCATGGCGTTTATTTTCTTTAGTGTGCACAGAAAGCTTTTAGCCAACTTTGAGCAGCTCTGTTGAAGCCTTTAAAGGGAAATTCCACCTTTTGAAAATAAATAAAAGCGCGCCGCTTCATAAAAGAAGAAATGCGCGTTTATTATCTTTGTTTATAGGAGCCAGTAAAGCGTAACAAACGTGATCAGTAGGGGGCGGGTGCAATGCCCTGGCTTCTGCGGACTCTTCTTCCCATCCTTGTCCATACCGAGGTCAGGACATGAAGGAGAGGAAGGGCCTTTTACATCAGAGTCCTCCCTTAACATCAGAGCCCCCTTCACATCAGAGTCCCCCCTTCACATCAGAGTCCTCCCTTCACATCAGAGTCCTCCCTTCACATCAGAGTCCCCCTTCACATCAGAGCTCCCCCTTCACATCAGAGCTCCCCCTTCACATCAGAGTCCCCCCTTCACATCAGAGTGCATCCAGAACATTTGGGGTTAAACTGATACCATTTGCTGGATGACTCAGAAGAAGGTAAAAGTATATTAGATCACTTCATCACGCCTGACAGAGTTCCCCGACGTGTTTCCCACACCTGTGCTCTCTATCAGCCCCGAGGTTTCCTCTATGTGGTTATGTGCGCTGCAGGAAGTAGCAGAAGAAGAGTTTCAGCCGACATCAGATTACGATCTCTGACTTGTTCACACAGATAACATGTTTTGGGCTCAATGCGGCGTGTGCACGGCAGTGTGGAGAATCTGGCACCATGCACCAAGCAGTGGTCTCCCCGCAGGGGTCCAACATGCTGTCCATTGAGTCAGAGCTAACGTTCTCCAGTCAGCAGGGAGTGTGAGCTTTGCCAATTGTAGAGCTCTAGGTCTGACTCAGTAGCGGGAGTGCCGGACCTCTGCAGAGAGACCACTGCTTCCCAATAGAGAGCAAGGGTCCTTCTCAGCAGCATGCTAGCAGGGGACAGGCTTTTCAGGTTATGGTTAAAGTTCCTGTCCCAGTGACAACACCCCCCCCCCCATTTCTTGTGCCGTTCTTACAGGAAGTGAAAGAAAATCTCCCTGATGAATCACAGAAATAGTTCCCCCATCTGACCAATAACAAAGCTATTTGGCTGGAGATCATTCTTACTAAGTAGTCAAATCCGAGAGAAAATGTATCAACAGGCGGTCATGTGATCACCGAGCACAGAAATCCCAAACGTTCCAGATCTCCTGATATGCCGCCGCCGCCGCCGCCGCCATGAGAAGCTGAGAGAGAGGGACAGAGAGAGAGAGGATAAGAGAGGGAGAGATGAGAAGAGAGGGAGAGAGAGAGAGGATAAGAGAGGGAGAGAGGAGAAGAAGAGAGAGGGAGAGAGAGAGGAGAAGAGAGAGGGAGAGAGAGAGCAGAAGAGAGAGAGGGAGAGAGAGAGCACGAAAGAAGAGAGGGAGAGAAAGAGAGACTGGGAGATAGAGAAAGAAGAAAGAGAAGGAGGAAGAGGAGGAGGAGAAGAGAGGAAGGGGTGAAAGGGGAGGGAGAGAGAGGAGAGGGGATGCATATCTGGGAGCCGATATCTGTCACTCCGTGCTGCTGTACAGGGGAACGCAAATGGCTAAAAATAAGACAAATTCCTCTATTTATACTGGTTGTATTTAAGTATTTATTTTTTATATAAGACATAACTGCATTCATTGGAGGTTTTATTATCTGCTGGGAGTTCAACTTTAATCATTTCCAATCAGTACAGCTATAAAATAACATTTCCCTGTCTTTCCACGTCCCCCTGTATATGGTTATGTCTCTCAGAATCCCGACTAATAGACCTTGCAGAGTAGAGAAGACATAGTTGCCAGCAATGTCTGACTGTTGTCCCCTGGACAATTGGGTGACTTATATGGGTGTCACGGGGACAGGAAGTGAGGGTGAGTGAGCCACCGACATACATAAAAACCTGATGAAGGTTCTAACGCTTCCCAACTCTGATCAACAATAAAAAAAATTAAACATTTTGGCTTGAGTTAGGTTTTTAATTTTTGGATTCCCTGTTTGTAATGTCACATCCAATTATTATTATTATTATTATTCAGTAACATATATCAGCTTTATAGTAGATTTTTTAGTTGATATTTTTTAAAATCGGTCATTTAAAATACAAAAGCACATTCGCTATATCACCAAAATCATGTGAACACCCCCAACCCTGAATTATTGAGCTCGGGTGTCTCCATTGACGGCTACTGTTAATGCTGCGCAGCTGCAGCATGCAAAGACATTTTACACAATTGTGCTCCTCCAACCTTGTTCCTTTCCTGTGTCCCTATGTACAAAGTCACCTTCATAAAGATGTGGTTTGACCTGTTTGGTGAGGAGAAACTCAAGATTTCTGAACACAGCCCCGACCTCAACCCTACTGAACACCTTTGAGATGGACTGGAATGCCAATTGTGAGCTAAGTCTTCTCATCCAACAACAGTACCTGACCTCACAAATTTCTTTTTGACAGAACGGGCACAAATTTCCACAGACACTCTCCTGAATCTTGTGGAAAGCCTTCATAGAAGAGCAGAAGATGTTATAGCCACAATGGGGAGCCAACGTCTTATGAATGGCCATGATTTTGGAATGGGATCACCAACAAGCTCATATAGGTGGGATGGTCAGGTGTCCACAAACCTTTGGCTATATAGTGTAAGTGTTGCTGTAGCCACCAAGGGGAAGGGGGGTCAACTCCTTAATGCTCATGTTTTTTAATGGGTTGTCCACCAAGCTCATGTAGGTGTCAGTGTTGGGCGTCCACACATTTGGCCATGTAGTGTATTTTATATTCCCAAGTAATAAAGGGTTTCTGTACTCTGAGACAGTATAGAAAATAACTTGGGTGAATGCAAGTCCCTTGCCAAATGTTGGCAACTATGCAATAACTGGCGTGTCATACAACCACGTGTGGCATATGGCCTTCTACCAGAGCTATAATCCTCCCCATGGCCACCATTTCCAGTGAGAATAGATCTACCTTATGCCAGATGTAGCCCTTACGTCTAATCTCTCATAGGTGGAGGCTACCTGTGGTCCTCTAGGCTGGGTAAAGCTACAAATCAAGTCAGTCATTCTGGGAAATGGTATTCTCCTCAACAATGGCAGAAAAATAGTTGTCCATACTTGACATGACCTTCACACTTGTCAGTTTTGATACAGCATGTCAAGTAGAAATCCCATTCCTAATTAGGGAAACAAAGAAGCAAAGACCAATGGATACTCTATGGGCCCATTCACACCTACACGTGTAGGAAAGGCCACCTGATTTTTAGGCCCGAAGAAGACACATCCTTTGTACTCCAAATGGGGAAACTTCAATCTGCAACTTGGTGCTGGATAAAAACTTGTTTCAAATAATTTACAATTTTAATTCTTCATTACAATAGCAGCAAGTTATTAATGAGAGCCCGTGAGGCGCTCACAGCGAGTAAGACTTAATGGCTCATTCATGGCATGGCGCTTCCTTCTGGCAGTGCTTTGATGACTCAACATTCACGAGAACTCGTTTCCAGTATCTGGGAATTGGCACACTGGAAATTCCTGATGACATGTTTCAGAAGGCACGGTCAACGGTAAAATATTTGCAGCATTGCAGTAAGACTGTAAGAAGGTGTAGAAGACATGGCCGAAAGAACCTCATCCCAAGTCTCTATGGTGGCCATCAACGCCTAACGGAGAGATGATTTCCCGCCACAGACAGAAATTAGAGTTCCGTAGATACAACCGGGTTCAAAGAACCTCATCCCAAGTCTCTATGGTGGCCATCAACGCTTAACGGAGAGATGATTTCCGGCCACAGACAGAAATGATAGTTCTGTAGATACAACCGGGTTCATCTTATGCGTTGTCATCCTCAGAAGTCCAAGCTTTGAATTTTTGCTGTTGATTGATACAAAATGTTTTCAAAGGCTCAAGGATTATGAGGACCTTCTGAGATGGTAGTATTCGGTGTGAATGTACTATTGCCCGTGCCAGGCCCCCCCCCGGGACTGTAACGCCAAGGAAGTAAGTAGAAGATGTAGACTCCAGCCAGAATGAGTGCCACGGTAAGAATAACGATCAAAACGATCGAGCCGTAGAAGACGCAGCCTCCCGACCTTAAGAGCAGACACCAATTTCGAGGCGAGTGAGGGTCCGGTGGCGGTCGCCCTAGGTCCACGCTGAGGCTCACCGAGCTGATGTTTATGGTGTTAGTCTGTGGCACGTACAAAAGGCCGCGCTTGCGGTTGAACCTGAGCGAAGGCGTGGGGCAGGTGAGCGATTTGTTCAGCCTGCTCAATAAGCTTCTATCTGTAGACAGCGCAGGCGGGCCTTTCTTTGGCGGAACCGGCGTGGTCACCCGACATACTGGGCAGGGAAGGGATTGTGGTTCCGTAGATCCCACCGTGATCCGCGAGAGGCATTCTAGGCAGAAGACGTGGCCGCAGGAGAGGATCTTGGGAAGGTGGAAGAGAGTGTCGTACGGATTGAAGCAGATAACGCATTCGGAGAGCCCGTCGACGTCAGGATTGGAGGCTGTCTCTTCTTCTTCCGCCATGATGAAGAACTCAGCATTGGAGATCTGCGGGAATAAATTAGGACATTGTTTTCAACATCTCTGAAAAAATTTACCAAATTGTGTCAATATTTTTAACAAATTACCCTCTCTGCCCGGTCATGTGATCTACAGCCGGGCTACTTAAAGGACTTGTATAGGCATGACCCATGTTTACAGCAAAACCTCGTTCTCCCTCCTAGAGCACGCTCATCATTCATTTTTACTGTTACCTTCCTTACCCTCCTACCTACCTACCTTCCCTGTAGTGGGAATCAGCTTTTAGTACTCCCTGTGACATCACTATCAGGCTCAGGTGGTCCTGGGCCCACCTCCAGCCTGTGACTGGACAGTGAAAGGAGAAGCAGCACAGTGATAAGCTCACTTCTCTGTCCCTCTGCTATTTCCTTCAGTCAGGATGTTCCTTATGAGCACATAATGATATCGGGGAGGGCGTTAATAGTTATGTTTCCGTGTCTGCTGATGATGCTAACATTGGGAGGGTAATAGACACGGACTAAGGCCCCATTCACACTGAGCGACATGAAAATCGCGCGATTTTCCGTGCGATTTTATATGAGCGATATTGAGCGACTTGTCGCGCGACATCGCGCAACTTTTTCCTATTGGGCTGTATACAATCAGTAGCAAAATCGCTTGCAAAAAGGGTCATGTAGGAGCGACAAGCTACAGCGACGAGCTACAAGCGATATTGAGCGACGAGATGTGAACAGCTCCATTGAAATGGATTGGAGAAGCTACATAGAGCGATATCGCGTGGAAATATGAGCGCTATCGCTGCAAAAATCGCGCGATAAATCGCTCAGTGTGAATGGGGCCTTAGACATTATAACATTACAAGAGGACCTGGATAGAATAGGGGAGTGGGCGACTACATGGCAGATAAGGTTTAATGTTGAGAAATGTAAAGTAATGCATTTTTGGGGTTAAAAACAGGCAAGAGGAATACACAATAATGAGAACTCCACTAGGGAAGTCAGAAATGGAAAAAGATTTGGGGGTCATAGTAGACCACAGATTGAATAACAGCACGCAATGCCAGCCTGCGTTAAATAAAGCGAGCAGAGTTCTGTCATGTATTATAAAGGGAATGTACTGTAGAGACAAATCTATAATGTTGCCACTTTATAGATCGCTGGTTCGGCCTCATCTGGAGTATGCGGTCCAGTTCTGGTCACCAATCCACAGAAAGGAAGTCCTTGAGCTGGAGAGGGTCCAGAGAAGGGCAACTAAGCTAATGAAGGGGATGGAGGACCAAAGCTATGAGACAAGGTTACTAATTTCAAACCTGTTCACGCTGGAAGTGAGGAGATTAAGGGGGGACATGATTCTGATGTACAAGATGTTTGGTGGTGATGGCAACATCGGCAATAAACTGTTTACAGTAAACTCCATAACAAAGACTAGAGGCCACCAACTAAAACTGGTGGAGAAAAGATTTAACCACAAAGGGGCGTAGGAGCTTCTTCTCAGTCAGAGCGGTTACATTTTGGAACTCGCTGCCACAAGCAGTGGTATCAGCAAGGAGCATTGAATCATTCAAAAATCCATTAGATACCTTCCTCAGAGACCGTAACATACAGGGGTACAGGTACTCTTAACTACTAGAACACACAGGGACTCATATACACACACACGCAAACACACACGCACGCACGCACACACACACACACGTTTAACTTGATGGACCTGTGTCTTTATGCAACCTCAAATACTATGTAACTACGTAACCATCTCTAAGGGTGTACACGCTTTGCAGTTACAGACACAATGCAAATGTCAGATATACATTCCTAAATATAGGACAAATATCTTAAAGTGATTGATGAACTTAAAGCCCCATAATTATACCGGCGTTACCCACTAAGAGTCCCTTTATACCGAAATAAAAACAAACAAAACATTTGCAAAATCTTTAGACTGTTACCCTGAATCGTCTTTAATAGACGGAGACATCCCTCAAGGGTCACCCCGGGGAGATGAAGGATTCTCTGCGGTCACTTACTATTTTAAAATATTATAAAAGACAGACACGGAGAGACTAAGCGGAGGGGCTACATGACTGGGGGGAGGAATAGTCCCGGGAGAAAGGGTTAAAAAAGAAAAGGGGAATAGCTGCTCTTACCTGATTGGACGTGGGAGTCAGGTGTCCGGGAGGAGCCGCATGGAAAGGGACTGCGAGGGCTGAGGGACGTCCTCTTTCTGGAAATCGACGAAGGAAGCAGGTTGTCCAACCCTCCCTCCCTGAATTTGGTGGTTATGGGGGGTTTCTTTTGTCACGGCAGCTTGGCGGGTTAGGGGGTCTTTGGGGGGTCTACAAAATCGGAGTTCATTACAAAATGTGGGGGGCCCTCAGCTGGTATGGGTGCTTCCCCCTGTTGGTGTCCGGATTTGTAAAGGGCGGGGGCCTGGCCCCTTGGGAACTCGGAAGGAGTAAGTGTCCTCGAGCTGGTAGTGGTGCGGCTGGGGACATGGGTGGAGTGTTATGAGAGGCCTTTTGGGCTGGCGGGCACCCAAAGACCCCTTCTCAGGTCAACCCTTGTTAAAGTATTATTTTTGTATATTTGGTTTATTACTTTGGTTATTGTTAAAGTTGTTTGTTTAATAAAAGGGCTGCTGTGGCCGTTAAAATCCATGTCGCGCAGTCCGTGTGTTTATTGGGGTTTTTAACTGAGGGACAGAAAATTGACGAATCCATCAGTCA